TTTATTGGAAGAAGCGAAAGAAGCTTTGGACTTGAATCAGCTGCTACAAATTGAAGATCCACAAGGCAGCAAATATATCAACTTGTGCTGGAGGCACATGTGTGGTGGAGGGGTACTGATTTCTCTCTTCCTTGGGGAAGTGGAAATGTTCATATTTTAGAGAAAGCAAAAGTAATACGCCAAGAAGATTAGAGGTGAGGGTGGAGTTTGTGTTAAATAACACATTCTTGTATTAATGGTCCATGGCAAAAACACATTTGTGAGTGATTTCAGAGAAAAATGGCTATCATCATGGGGCTCCATTCGCTTGCTATATATTATTAGACTACAATTACAAATACAGAACCAAAATAAGCAGATTAAAAATAGAGCTTTGATTGTGGTGAGATTTCTTACAGTAAAACTTCACCCCATGCAAAACTGTGGGAGTCCTCATTTTAGCAACTCTGATTATTAATCAGCCTCTCAGCCAGATTTCTTTGATAAATTTCAAGGCTCTAGCTGTGGCTAATTTGCAGCCTCCTCACACAACTGCTATGTGTCACTAGGCATTTGAGTCTTTTATTCTTTTATTATTACTTTGAAAATTTTTTTAAGTTTATTTATTTTTGAGAGAGAGAAAGAGAGAGTGAGGGGGGAGGGGCAGAGAGAGAGGGAAAGAGAATCTCAAGCAGGCTCCACACTGTCAGCATGGAGCCTGATGTGGGGCTCGAACTCACAAACCCTGAGGTCATGACCTGAGCTGAAACGAAGAGTCGGATGCTTTACCAACCGAGCCACCCAGGTGCCCCTTGAGTTTTTTATTTTTAAAGAAAAGATATATAGAAGAAAGCTTACAACTGTATACTATTAGGAAGCTAGTTTTAAAAGTGACTCTTCTTTATTTTAATCTATAAAGTGAGTGTGGGACACATGGCATCTTTAAAAAATCTAAGTTTATGGTAACTTCACTTCAAAAGAATACTTTCAAAAAATATTGTTGTGTTAAAACTAAGGAACCCTTCCTACTACCCTATGAATTTTTACGGGTGTTCCAACTATTGGCCCCATACCAGGAAATGAGAGGAAAGATACCTTTTGACATATCTGGTGCCTACTGTAGTCTAATATAATGTTTTTAAAACCATAGGCTGCAACCCATTAGCTGGTCCTGAAGTCAATTTACTGAGTTGGTCACCATCACTAAAAAATGAAATAGAATAAAACAGAAAATAGAGTGCACCCACTATGGATAGATAGTGTCTTCTGAAACTTGTTTCAGTTGTGTATATGCATGTAGATTTGTCAAATCCATTCAATCCATCCTTCAGCAATGCCAGAACCATTTTTCTGAAGACATACCTTCTAAAAAGTCATTGTTAGCTTTATAATCTTCATCCAGCTCCCTTAACAGCCAGAATAAAGTCCAAACTGTTTCAAAGGTTTTCAAGATCTCCCTACTCAACACATCCCCCATGGTCCTTCTACTTATCATTTCAGAAAATGACATCACCATCTACTCAGTTGTTCAAGCTTGAAAACCAAGTAGTTCTACCCACCATCCTCTCCTTCTCCAGTCTACCCTATCAGTCTTACCTCTTGATTCTCATTTAGTCTGAGTCAAAATTTGCCCTCTCAGAGGAGTCAGTCTTTCCTTAGCCCTCAATCTTGATCAGTCTCTACACCTACTCCTACCATTCTCTAATACACATTGCCCACTTTTGTGTATTTTCCATAACAGTTCCAACTCAAATTATCTTGTCTGTTCTTGTGAATGTATTTAGTATCTGTCTCCCTACCAGCTGTAAGGTTCATGGAGCAGGAACTTGGTCTTTCTTTGCTGTGCCTCTTTGTTGAGATCAGTTCAGAGCTCATGGTAGAAAAGTCACCAATAAATATTTACCAAGTGAAAGAGTTCCTGAACTAAACTTGGGGTTCTTAAACTCTCTTCTACTTTTTTTGGTCATGGTACCTGCTATTTCTTCTGCCCAGAATGTACTGTACCCACTTGTTTTCTTGGTAGGCTTCTAGTCTTCCTTTAAAATTTCACTTCCTTTATGAAAAATTCCCTGATGCTCCTGGACTGAGTTGACTTGTTCTCAGTGACACCGCAGCCTTGTTCCCTCACTATTTTGCAGATATCTTCATATTGGACTTCCTAATTAGACTGTGAGCTTCCTCAGGGCAAGGCTTTTTGTCTCCCCAACTCCTAGCGCTTGGTAAGAGTGGTTGCATATTGAGTACGTATAGTCATTCAATAAGTGTTTGCTGAATAGTTGGGTACACAAATGAAAGAGAATAGATGATCAAGGAAGATGATTATTTGTGATGATGTTCCCTGATTTAAACTGTAAGTAAATAAAATCCTGGATTTATAGAAAGGGAAAGATTAGTGTGTGTGTTTGTTGTACAGAGCAGTAAAGGGGAGGGAGGGAGAGAGTAAAAGTGGATGAAAGCATAATTATTCTGTACAAAATACTTCTATTTACAAATGGATCATTTAAAAATATCAAGCTGTCTTAGTGCAGTTACAATTTTACATAGTTGATCAGATTTAATTTCCACATAGTTTCTCAGGAACATAACTGTTTGGTAAAGTGAGGGAACAGTGTTAATGATGAAAAAGTTTATGTGTCTGTGATTTTAGGGTGCAACCTGACCCAGGCCAGCAGAGTGTGGGCTTTGTACTTCTCTCTGTGAGACTCTCACGTCAAGTTATGAAATATGATTAAAATAGAAAATACCGGTGGAAAAAAAAAGCATCCTTAAATGTGTGTGTGTGTGTGTGTGTGTGTGTGTGTGTAGAAAGAGAGAGAGAGAGAGAGAGAGAGAGAGATCTTTTTTTCTGGATTTATGTTCTTTCTTAATAGAGTAGTTGTTTGCTCTTCATCATCTTAAATAAAACTGCCAAGCTGGAATAAAGCCAAACCACTTATAAGAAAGCCTATTTTCTTCTCATTTAAGAAATATTTTATTAGAAGCCCCCCTTCATTTGCCTTGTAATTCTAGCTGTAGAGGGTTCTTCAAAGTGGGAGGAGGAGGAGACAAAAGCTGTGGTGAGATCTTAAAAACACTTAACAAAAGGATTTCTCAAACACTTAATTACATAGGAAAATCTACCTCTTTTGTTTCCCACAGTAAATAATGTTAGAGGATCTGTAGTACAAATAAAGAACCTAAGTGGATGGAGAGTGTCCCTTTGGCAAATGCCCCTTTCCTTGTGGATCTAGGGCTGCCTTACTTCATGTGATTTGAGGGAGGTCTCCAGCTGCACATTTTCTCTTCTGAAGTCCTACCATTAGAAGTTTAGAGGTTTTGGGGGTTAATAAACTGATCTATTTAAATAAGCCCTGGTCAACTTTCAAGAAGAAGCTAGGCTAGGGCCATTTATAATCCTATGACTCAGCCAAAGTGGCTACCCTTGGGAATCATTATTGTGATAGATGGAAGGAGAATGACAGGGGCCTATGGAGAGCCCCAAACATTGTGAGGAGATGGATATCCCAATGCAAACGGAGAAACAGGTCATGAGTGGAAAAGGAACGGGGGACAAATGGTGTGGATGTTCAAGTACACTTGGTTCTCAGCTCATCATGGCAAACAAAATTTCTATCAAACTGAGGAAGGAAGAAGAAGAAAGGATTTTTTTTAAGAAGCAACAAAAACTAAAAATAACACCATTTATTTTGCAATTAAAAAATTAAATTGATTTGAAAATTAAAGAAACTTCAAGAAAATAAAACTACTTTATGCTAGACACTGTAACTTATTAAGATCATTGGATCATCAGAGCCTGAAAGTCTGTTTTTGGATTGGACACTGATACCACCCGGAAGCAGACCATCCTAAGTGGGTGGGGCGGGGGTTCTCTCTTGAAGCACTCAGGTTCTAGAGAGAGGGTGGGTATGTGGGACATGGTGCTGATAAAAACCTTTCTCTTTAGGTCTAGGCTCCTTGTAACATGCTCTCAACTTGTTTATAGAGGATAATATGTTGCGTATTTCCAAGTACATTCTGCTCACCTCTGGTAATTACAGAGTTTAAGAAGCAATAAAAACTAGGGGGCTTGATGTTACATTTTACCAAGATTTCCAGCCATGATGTACAGAGAGCTAGCATGTACCGGGTAACTAATTAGCTGTGCAACTTTGATCAAGTTACAAGTTACTTGATTTTCTGTGCTTCAGTTGTCTTACCTGTAGAACAGGAATAATTTTCATTTTACTTTATAGTGTTAGGAGAATTAAATGTTATCATGCTTCAAGCATTTTCAACATAGGGGGGCAAACAGTGAATGAAGTGTTAGCTATAATGATAATGTTGATGGGGAATAATGATTGTTCCCCTTAGCTAGGCATTAGACTCTCTGCTTTGTTATCTTGTTTAATTCTCAAAAAAAATTTTTTTAGGTAACTATTTTCAACCCATTTTCACCTAAGGCAACAGAGTTACAGACAGATTAACTAACTTGCCTCCAGAAATACAACTAGTAAGCTTCAGAACAAACGGAGATTCAAATCTAGGTTGGCTGTGAACCAAGGCCCCCATGAGTTCCCACATCTCTGCTTTCCAGTGAGTCCCTCTTTACCTCAGTCCTCTAAAAGCATTCACTGTATTCCTATAGCAGTTCTAAAAGCTTCCACTGTATTCCTATAGCAGCTTGCCTGAGTTTTTCTGGTGGTTTCTCCACATCCTGACTTTTTTTTCTTTTTAGCAAACTTTCCCTTGCTAATCCCTCCTTCAGTATAACCTTGTTAGTTTTGGGGACACACCCCTGGCTAGGCCTGGGCTTACAGGGCTGCCTCTCCCCACCCCTTCCCTCTGCTGTGGTTTAAAGTGTCACCAGATGCCTCTGGTTCACTCCCTTTGCTTTAAGCCCTTACAAGGGCAGGAGGAACCAAGGCTGGGCACATAACCCATTAGTACTGGGGTGATAGTGAAGGGGTCTTGGGGGAGCACTGACCTCCCTGCAACCCCTTCATCACTGGGACTGTTGGCACAAAAGAAAACCAGTAGGGGAAATGAAGAACTTCTGGTAAGACCGTGACACTGGAAAGAATGGTGGGGAGACTAGGTTGGGGGCCCTTGAAACCAAGGGTCTGTGTTTCTGCAGTGGTGGTAAGATGAGAGGAAGTGAGGGGAGGTGGGAGAGGGGAGAAAGGAAAGCAAGAGAGATGCAGACAGATACAGACAGAGAGAGCCAGGGAAAGACAGATGAGAATGAGGCAGAAAAGAACAAGCATAAGAGATAGGAGAGACAGAAAAAGAAAGAGCTACTAAAGTGAAGAGGGAGGAAAACTAAGATGAAAGAAAACATAGACAAGGAAATGGATATAGAAACAGTGAGACGGGTAGCTATGGAGAAAGTGGGAGAGAAAAAAACAACAGTCTCATGATTGTTTTAGTGTAGGAGCTAGAAACATGAGAATTCATTAAGTCTCTGAAGATTTCAATGTCAAATGGAAAAACTAAACTGTAATGAGATTTGATCACTTACATTACGTTTACCATATTTCAAAATATTTAAGTCTGGAGGGACTCCTGTTTGAGTCATTTTTCTTTTCTCCTCTTCAGGAAAATTCCAGTTTTCTTCTTTGTCTGCAGTTTCCTGGGATCTTGGGCATCTGCAGTTGTCAAGCGTCGCCCAAGTAAGGGTCACAGTTTCTGGATTTTGAAAAAATCACTTGTTTGCAGAAATGATCAGGCAGGGCTGTGGCTGAGAGAGGATGGAATGAAGTATCCATGGTCCTTCACAGCCTCACTCTTCAATCCTGCTTTAGCCATGGTTTACTCCATGTTTGGTTTTATGTGGTCAGTGATGGGTATGGAAGAGAAGTCCTGGCTGCAATCACAGTCAGCAGGAAAGCCAATCTGTGTACTCCAGTGCTTTCCACAGTGCCTACTTGGTTCATATGGTGATTGGTGATGTTGGATGGGCAGACAGGTGGATGAATGGATGGATGAATGACCCGGGGTCGCGGGAGGTGTAAAGAGTGTGTTTGATGTACTGGGATGGCTGGGCCAAAACTTGTAGCTGGAAAATGCTTTTTCTGAAGTTTAGGAAGTCACTGTTGTCAGGGTGACAACAGGGTGCTCATCAGGGTGCTGGAGTTAGACAGTCACAAAAAGCCTTCTTAAACAAGCTTTCTCCCTGCAACCTTCTACCTGTGTAAGAAGCATCCAATTTAATATCAGGATTTCTCATCGAATTAAGCGTTTACATTTTCATGGTTCTTTTTTTTCTCATTACACTTCCCCACTCTCAGATGCTAACAATAGCCTAGTTGGAATGCTTTTTTGATCTCTTGGAATGAATCTGTAAAATTAAAAGCATCCTATATATTTTATTTTGGATTAGTGAATCCCAAGTCTCCCCCCCAAACTCCTCCTCTATTTAACAAAGATTCTTAAGAACTCCACTCTCCAGAAGTCCCACTGAACGGGCTCAAGGCTGGCTCTGGATTCTCCTAGGAATTCTAAAATTTGTGGTGTTTAAGGAATATTTTCTAGCCCAACGCACGAGAAGTTTTCCAAACAGGCATCTGACACTGTGCCATTCAGAACATTGTGCTGCTCTGGTTCCAAAAGGAACAAATTCCTAATTTCCCCCAAAGGAATACTTTCCCAGTACAGACTACTAAAACAACTTTGCACCTTGCTTCCCTTCCAGGATGAGTTGAAGATGAATGAATTATAATCCTAGAGACAAAGTAATTAAAGCCAAATACACTATAGGCAAGGTGTTTGGTATACTATTCTCCTTTAAATAGTTTTTCAGCTCTTATTATTATTGATCTATTTTCATGATCTCTGTAGGGGTTGGGGTAAGATAACATGCTGTCTCTTTTGCAGGGTTCCCTGTTAATTCAAACTCTAATGGTGGAAATGAACTCTGTCCAAAGGTTAGGATTGGCCAAGATGATTTACCAGGCAAGTAGCCATGTATCATATTGAAAACGCATGCTTTCTACAAACCTACCTGATATATTCTTTTATTTGGGAAGGTTGTGGAAAGGAAAATATAACCGATCTCACTTTAGACTTTTTATTTTGTGTCCCCTTTCTGTAGGGTTTGACTTGATTTCTCAGTTCCAGGTAGATAAAGCAGCATCTAGAAGAGCTATTCAGAGGGTAGTGGGATCAACGGCATTACAAGTGGCTTACAAATTGGGAAATAATGTAGACTTCAGGATTCCAACAAGGTATATAAAAATATTTTATCTAATTATCTGCCTAAAATGCATTTTAAAAAATGAAAAGCTGCCCAATGTTAGAGAATCTTCAATGCTTCTTAGGTTCAATGCTTCTTAGATCATGATTTTTTTTTTTTAAGACGAAGGAATTTATTTACCTCTCTTTAGTGTCTAAATATATGAATGCGCTTCATGTTTTCAGTATGTGATTTGCTTTTCATTCCAAGGAGAAAAAAAAATCACTGGGACCATTATACATTGATTCAGGACATGTTCTTATTACTTTGCTCTCTGTTTTTGTATAATTTGTCTGGTTTTGGCTGAAAGGACCCTCTGTGAAAAGTGCCAGGGGTTAAGCATAAATTTAACTAGGAACCACGGAGTGGTTAGAAGACTCACAATGGTGCTGTTCAAGCATCCTGGTGCTGAAATTGACCACACATCTACTGCCTGGCTCCTGGCAGGAATCAAACAAAAGCAAAACTAGAATAATGACAACTGAAGCAATGGTAGTGATAATAAGTTAAAAATCCTCCACTTCATTTACCTCCGTCTCTAGAACTATATTTTTTATCCTTTAAATTATTGATAAGCGTGGTGCTTCAGTTTGTATATGTGTTGAGTCATGCCATTGTTATGAAGGAGCTTTAGGATTTCAGTTTTATATCACCTAAATACCTTATATGTAGTTATCATAATCATTGTATGTTTCAGTGTACTGCAAAAAATTGAAATTAAGATTCCTTTGATAGATGAACAAGAAAACTAAGGCTTTGATAAAAAAATTAAGCTGTAAAAGTAAACAATGATTAATTAGAACAGTAAAAGAATATTATAAAAGCTCTAAATGTTTATAATAATGAAAATTTTGTTCAAATTAGAATATTCTGATACAGTGCTAGACTGTAGATAGAAATTCATGTCTTCAACATACGAACTGCATTTTATTTTTTTCTAAATATGAGCTACGTTTTATAAAATGACATAGTGCATTGTATCAGCTCTTTCTATAAATTTACTAATTAACATTAAATCTCATCCTGATCACAACCCTGTGGTAAAGACATTATTATCCACATTTGATGAGGGAGGGGAGTGAGCCCAGAAAGCTTAAGGTACTTACATGAGGTTCCAGGGGTGGGAGATGCTGGAACCACTGAAATTCAGTCAGAATGGTTCTTCAACCACTACTCCGTACTGATGCTGGAAAATTACTCACAGGGCATGATAACAGATACTGACTTTTTTATTTTTGCTTGTATTTTCTTTGCATGTACACAAGTGCTAGTGTCCTTAAATATCTTTAAAAACATTTTTTTCTTTCTTTAATAAAATAAACGTGATGGAAGACATCCCCCCCTGCCAATGCTGGACCTAATTCTCTCCTCTGTAATTTGAAGTACAATCTGGATTGCCATTAAGTAACTCAAAGTTCAGAGACTGACCAACTTGAAGCCACATAAACACCCACCTCCTACTCATCTTTGCTGTTGCTCTTCTCTAAGTGCTTAGAGCTATCACTAAATATTTTTTTAAAAATTTTTTAATCTTTTTTAATTTTATTTTTGAGAGAGAGAGTGACACAGAGCGTGAGCGGGGGAGGGCCAGAGAGAGGGAGACACAGAATCAGAAGGAGGCTCCAGGCTCTGAGCTGTCAGCACAGAGCCTGACCTGGGGCTCGAACCACGAACCGTGAGAACATGACCTGAGTTGAAGTCGGTCCCCCAACTGACTGAGCCACCCAGGCACCCCGTCACTAAATATTTTTTACAGGATATAACCAATGTCTCATATTCTCTATTTCCTTGACCCCTGCCTCCACAAAGTCTAAAAATTCTGTTTTACTGGTAAAGCTTATTAAAAGTTGAAAAAAGAATTAGGCAGGAAGTAGAAAGAAATAAAAAAGAGAAGGAGGGGAGAGCCAGAGGGCTGAGTCTCAAATAGGTAATAAAGTGTATTTGGGGGCAAATTGCTTACACGGTCTTTGTTTCAGTCCCTTCAGCATAAATTAGGAATAAAAATAACAGTGTCATAGATTTGCCATGAGGAGCAAATTGTTAATAAATGGAGAGGGTTGGATAGAGGTTGGCACACAGTGGTATTAGTTGAGTATTTATTCTAACTAGTGGAGACCACCAGGAGAAAGTGTGTATATGGGAACCTTTTCTCCTTAGTGGATTCTTTCTTTTCAAGCTGCCCTCCTAGTCCTATTCATTCAAAAACCAGATGGCAAGAAAGGCAGGAACTGGAATTGCTCTCAGACCAGGCAGGGAGTAGACTGTCTTGGTTTAAAGGAAATTTCTATGCTGAAGAATATAGGTTCTGAGGGAATGAAAAGAAAACCTTAACAGAATTTGTGTGGGAGGGGAGTAAGAGTATGACATAAAAAACTTATGTGATAGAGTCACAATTTACCTTTATCTTCTCAATATTTTTGGAAGATTATGAGAATAGTTTTTTTTGCTGATTTTTATTCTTTATTTTATACATAATAGTATCACAGTCTCAACTCAGACTTACAAACATTTTGTGTTTGTTTACCTTAATAAACAATTCTTACATGGGTTAAGGTCATAAACAAACGCTTCAAGGTCTAAAGCCTTCTTATCTTTTATTTAAACCCATACAGTTCTTCTTTTTAAGGTACTCTGTGCAGATTGTAACATAATGAAATAAATCATTTATAGATCCAGCTTCTTCTACATTATGTATGCTGTCAAGTTTATTTATCGATGTGCATAGCATATTTGCAAGAGCAGAATCTCAGGTGTTCAAAAAAGACAATAGTATGGGCTGCTATATAAATTAGACATGTGAGGACTTTGAAAAGGTCTTAAGTATACATATACATATATATTTTATTAATTTGAACACCAAAAGGAATTTTCTCCTCTTATCATATTGACATTTTGTATTAGCCTGTTTAAAAGATTAATAACATGATAATCTTGATTATACTTGTATACTTACATGAACACACACACATATACATAATCTTTGTGTATATGAAGAAAGAGAGCTGATGGATACACTTGATTTAACAATGTGTCTATAAAAGAATTGTTCTTCTAGCAACCTTACTCACAAACTCATTTTTAAAAAAAAGTTTTTGGCATTACCTCACCAAGTCAGAGGTAAATGGGGACATTCTGTTCTAGTCTACCTTCAACATAATCTCTTTCCTCATTAAGCAGGAAAGATGAGATAAAGCATAAATTGGGAGAGATCCCTCAGTCAACCTCATGATATCTTTGCAAAAAAGTCACTTAAACAAGTTACTGCAACTTGTGGAACCAAAGCAAAATAGACTTATTTTATCTAGGGACTGATAAAATTCTATAGCCTTGTTTGGTACATCTGTAAACTAATACATTGGTAAAATACATTTACAAAAATCTAGGAAAAGAATGCTTTATGGAGAGAAGAGGACAAAATATTAAGATTTATCTTCCTTCTGTGAAAGCCTCATACCTCAACAATAACTATATAGGACAAAAAAGAAAAATAAATTCTTTAAGCATCTGGTTAAATCCAGATCATTAAGTAAAAAGAATATGAAAATAACATATTCATAATTTAAATGGATGCTTATCAAATTTCACCATTCTGTGAAACTTTTAAAACTTATCTCCCAACTCCAAATTAATTGAGATCAGTTAAATGAACTGTATAAACTTCTATGCGGTTTTATAATTATGCAGTAGGCAATATATTATACTGTCATCAGTAAACCTTAGCCTCTTCTCTAGAAGTTAGTCTGCAGTATGTATATCCTGAAAAATTTATAGTGAAAGGGAAATACATCAAATAGAATCTATATTAAAAGTAAATATCAAAATAGATATGGTAGACATGTTCATTCTGGGGAAATTGTCCTTGCACACACTTTTTATTTCCTTAGCTCCAAACTGAATCTTTTCTAAATGTACATGTTAAAACCTCCTGTATACTTGACAAACATTTAATAAATTGAAAACTTTGCAATAAGTATAATACATATCACTAGTGATCACTTAAGAATGTGTACTAATAAAGGAATTCGCCCAGTATTATAAATAAAAATTAAAGTCATTTTAGAACACAATGATTAAAAGAAGTATTTTGATGCTAAAAGGGTATTCAGATGAAAAACTTCATATTTTTGTTATTTTTATAAAACCAGCTTTTAAAAAAAAGGTGATGAAATTTGTTGACATAGTTGACCCATTTTATTGAAGGTGTGCAAAAATATGTGTAGTAAAGAGTTATGTGTTTGTTCATGCTATTGTAAGGGATGATAAAATTTTATAAAGTCAAAGTAAAGAGAAAATCTTAGCAAGTTGAGTATTTCACCTATTGTTAAACATTCTTGCAACTGAAGAAATTTTTGGTTTAGAAATTCTTGACCCCTAACAACCTATTTTAATGCAACTGGCAAATTAAATCAACATCCACTTAGCTATTTCTTCTTGCCTTTCTCTTTTTTACTTTTCACAAGAGAGGGCTATTTAACAGGAGTCTGACCTGAAGGAAGGTGATTTGGGACTTTGAGTCCTGTCCATAACTCTTCTCAGAAATGTCAAATCTTATTATTTAGCAACCAAAATGAACAGCATCTAGTTTTCCTAGCATTCCTTCCTTACTTAGGAATTTTTCTATACTGAGGAGAAAGGTAGAAAAATACAACCTTAGGGGAGCCCAGGTGGCTCAGTCGGTTAAGTATCTGACTCTTGCTTTCAGCTTAGGCCATGATCTCAGTTTCATGAGTTCAAGCCCAACATTAGGCTCTGTGCTGAGAGTGGGGAACCTGATAGGGATTCTCTCTCTCTCTCCCTCTCTATCTACCTCACCTTTGCTCACGCTGTCTCTGTCTCTCTCAAAATAAATAAATAAACTCAAAAAAAAAAAAAAAAGAAAACTATAACCTTCAAGCCTGTGAGAGATGATGCTTACATTTAATAGGTTCTAATTTTTTTAAAATTGCAGCCTTCTGCTTTTAGCAGCTTGGCTTCAACAAAAGAAGATCCAGGTAGTTATTGCTGCTCCAGATCACAGTTTCCACATAGACTGGAGCTGCCTTAGGGACACTGACAGTCTTATGTTGCCATTTAAAGCAATAAAAGTAGGGTCAGGGGTGCCCCGCATGGCTCGGTCAGTTAAGCATCCGACTTCAGCTCGGGTCATGATCTCATGGTCCATGAGTTAGAGCCCTGCGTGGGGCTCTGTGCTGACAGCTCAGAGCCTGGAGCCTGCTTCGGATACTGTGTCTCCCTCTCTCTCTGTGCACTCTGTCTCTCTATCAGCAGTAAATAAACATTTTTAAAAAGCAATAAAAGGAGAAACAATACAGACTTAGTTGTCAGACTGTGGAACAACTGGGCTGGAGTAGAGAATTAAGAACTGGCCACCTTTCCCTTGTCATACATACAGCAACAAGCAACCTGCTGCTACTTTAACGTTATGATTTGAATTCCCTGGAAAAAAGACTAGTGTGCTCAGTGTGAAGGAGCTTCTCAAGTCTGCACAGTTACTGATTCTCAGAACGCATATGTGGGTCTAGGATATAATTGTGGAGGGGACTTATGGGAGCAATTATGGACATAACAAATAATCCTAACAACATGCTACATTAAAATAAAAAATTTAAAAGCTGCTTTAATGAAATGGTTTTATTAACTAGTAGAGCTGTTTAGATTCCAAATGATCTCTTCTTTAATTTGTGGAAGAAATGCTGCCAGGAACCTTGCAAGAATATGTTTTTTGGCTGAGATGGAATTGCTGAACAGGAGCTCTTTAGGTAGCATAAATAGTAATACTGTTGGGGGTATGTGGCATTGGGAACCCTCCTTAGCTATGAGGAAGGGTTTGTTTTTTCTAATGTGTATTTTAGGATGGAGCATTAGTGTACATGAATGATGGAGCTTCTGTGAAGTTCATGAAAGAACAAATGGTACATAGTTTTTCACACTGTAGCCTTTCTGTAGGTCTAGAATCTAAAATAGCATAATAAGAGAATATGGTAATATGCATGGGTACAGAAAACAAGAGTTTTATTTACTGTTTTAAAATTTTGCTCAGGCATTTATATCCCAGTGGTCTGCCTGAAGAATACTCCTTTTTAACTACTTTCCGGATGACTGGAAGCACACTTGAAAAGAACTGGAGCATTTGGCAGATTCAGGATTCCTCAGGGAAGGAGCAAGTTGGTGTGAAGATTAATGGCCAGACCAAATCTGTTGCATTTTCATACAAGGGACTGGATGGAAGTCTCCAAACTGCAACCTTTTCAAATTTGCCTTCCTTGTTTGATTCCCAGTGGCATAAGATCATGATCGGTGTGGAAAGGAGTAGTGCTACTCTTTTTGTTGATTGCAACAGGATTGAATCCTTACCTATAAAGCCAAGAGGCCAAATCAGCATCGATGGCTTTGCTGTGCTAGGAAAACTTGTGGATAATCCTCAAGTTTCTGTTCCGGTAAGTATGAAGTCATACACTATGGTAGATTAAAACAAAACTAGATAGCTAAAAACTAACACTTCAGATATCTTTGACAATCATTTGAATGTCTTAAGCAATGAACAGTTATTCGCTTTTTTAAAACGTTTACTTTTGCAAGAAAGAGACAGAGAGAGAGAGTGTGAGGCAGGGGAGGGGCAGAGAGAGAGAGAGAGAGAGAGAATCCCAAGTAGGGCTCAGCACTGTCAATGTGGTATCTGACTCAGGGCTCAATATCACAAACTGTCAGATCCTGACCTGAGCCAAAATCAAGAGTCTGACACTTAACCGACTGAGCCACCCAGGCTCCCCGAGTTATTCATTTTTAAAATTCACTCAAGCACTTACTCAAAAAGCCTTAAGTGCCTGTTTTGAGTAGAGCACATCCCAAATGGAATGGGAAATCAGAGAAAGTCTCAAGGAATTGGTTCCTGGTCTTAAGGGGCTTCAAGTTTACTTGGATGATGTGACATGCCCCCCTGGAGCTCCCAGAATCCTTCAGAAGCAATGTAAGAGAAGCAAATACTGGTGTGGTACACCCTGTATATAAACAACTAATGAGAATATCAAAGTCAGGTTAAGATGAATGGTGGATTTAGTTAGTCAAGAATTCTGTGCTTCTTTTTAAAAATTTTTTCAAGTTTATTCATTTCTTTTGAGAGAGACAGAGACAGCAAAAGTGGAGGAGGGGCAGAGATAAAGGGAGACAGAGAATCCCAAGCCAGTTTGGGACCGTCAGCACGGAGCCCGACATGGGGTTTGAACTCATGAAACCATGAGATCATGACGTGAGCTGAAACTAAGAGTCAGACACTTAACCGACTGAGCCACCAAGGCACCCCAAGAATTTTGTGCTTCTTGAACACAATGAATCTTGAAATGGAAGGATTTGAACTGGCAAAAATGTATTCAGCTGAGGGAAAGAGCATCAAATGAAAGGGAAGTGGAAAGTAAGTGGGCCCATTGTGTGTGTGTGTGTGTGTGAGATGAAGGGAAGGGGGTGGAAGATACTAACTGCAGGGTATGAGAGATAAGGTTAGGAAGCCATATGGTGTCTGATCAACAAGAATAAAAAGCGTATAGATGGTACAATATTTACTTAGTAAGTCTTGTATGACATAAAAGTAAAGGATTTTAGAGCTCTATTCATGATTTTACTGTAGGGTTCCATGGATATAAAGGTAAGGAATTATATAGTGACAGAGTAATTATGCCAACTAATACCATACAGTTCTATCATTTTGAATTGTTAAACTTTTATTGAACAATCCTTTAAAAGGATATTTTATAATATTATTAGAGGGATTTAAAAATACATCTTAGGTGATAAGTGTTCTCTGGGGGGGAGGAACTAAAGAATTTAGAGCTTAATAAATAAACTGTTGAGGCCAACATTCTCTCTCAATTGGAGCTGTTAAATTCTAGTCACAAAACTCATATCATGGCATGTAGCAGGGGTGATACAGTGATTCTGAATTGTTTCTGTGTACTTCTCCAAAGAAAAAAAGGTTATCAGGCACTCAGTAATGGAATTGTTCAAATAGCTTATTTTCAAGAGAAGAATTGTGATTAGTGTGAAGGGTAGTGTGAAATTTCTATATTCTGTGACGGACAGGAAGCAATTTGTAACTGCCATATTACCGCTCTGACTTGTAGACACTTGAGAAAGTATTTCTTCAACTAATGAGTTATCACACCTCAAGTGACTGGGTTAAAAAGCCAATGGGACCGCTATTGTGCCATCTTGAAATTTTGTGAAGCAAGATTGTTGCAGTGGTATGAGATTGGGATTAGTTTGCAGGCAACTCCAAATGTCTGCAACACCTGTGTCATTTCTGGACCATGGGTAAGGGTGGGGAGACCTTAAGGTGCTTCTTTACTACAATGAACATCAATCAAGTGCTTGCAAAATTGATTGATTCATTGGCCTTGAATAACATTTCATTTGTTTTTGTAGTCTCAAGTCTTTATTTAAATTTTAGTTAGTTAACATACGGTGTAATAACCGTTTCAGGTGTAGAATTTAGTGACTCATCACCTACATATAACACCCAATGCTCATCACAACCAGTGCCCTCCTTAATGCCTATCACCCATTTAATCCATCCCTTGAAAAACATTTCAAGCCATTATAATTCTGGATGCTAGGGTATTATTAAACTCTTTGATTGCCAGAGTGGCAAAGTCTCAATCTTACTCCAGTACATTATAGTCTAGCCAATAATGTTATAGCTGATTGTAGTTTTTCTGCCAAGCGTAGTCTCATATCACAGTGGAGACCAGTTAGGACCGGTTATCCTCTATTTTATTCTGCCATGTGCAGGCACACAACAAAGAACTGGCGGCTGGTATTATATTTTGCTTCTGGTTCACCAAGGAGCTTTTCAAAGTCAGTACACTGTAACCAATGTTAAAAGTAATTGAAACAGGCATGAGAATTTTTTTTCCTTTACACTGAATTCTGACTTTCCCACAAGGAAAGACAAAAAAGACTTGAACCTATCACCAAATATGATCGAGTAGTGGTGGTGGTAATAATAGCTAAAACAGGTCAGAGTTACAGGCCAAAAAAAAAAAAAAAAAAAAAAAAAAAAAAAAAAAAAATCCTACTTACATCCAAGGACTGACAGTGACAATGTCAAACTCAAACTTGTCACCAAAATGTATTCCTCAATTTTTACTCTATATTAGACAAATAGAAAATTCTATGTAAGAAAAGCCCATTTATGCTTTTTAAGCACTCTGATACCCTTAAAATGCCAATTTAAAGTTTCCAAAATGCTTTCATTGCCACTAACCTATTTTATCCTTGCAACAATTTTATAAGATAGCAAGCACAGATAAGATTATCTCCATTTCTCAGTTGAAGATGTGACCTCAGGTGGGCTTCTTGACTTGTAAAAAACCATGTTAGGCACAAAATATAATCTACCTATTTTCTGCTGTGCCAACTAACTTTCCTTTGAGAAAAGGAAAAATGCATAACCACATATTGTTCCTTATAAAGCATTTCCTCACTTTCATTTTAGAAAGCATTTGTGATTTGCATAGATTTTTCAGAATTTACTTTGTGGGACGAACAAATAAATGTTTCTTTCTTAAAGAAGGAGGATTGTACAGTATAAAATATGTTCTCGGACATGTACTTGTTTATTAATTTAGTAAACTTTTATCATGTGCCTATATACTGGCTATACAAACTTAAATAAATCATGGATCTTGTCTTCTTCAGTTCAGTCTCTTGAGGGTGATGGGTTGAGATAAGTAAACAATGACAGTACAACATATGATAAGGGCCATGATAGTGAATGGAGAGACACTGGGAAAAAGTTCCTCACTCAGATTAGGCCAGGAGGCATGAGAGTAGACGTCAAGCATATTTACTGTAGAAAGTGATATCTAGAGGAAACCTGGGGATGAATAAGTATTATCCAGGAGAAGACAGAGTCCAGTGTTGTAGGCAAAGAGCCTCCCATTTGGGAATTCTCACACTGATCAATTCTTCCCTTTTCAAATATTATTAGTCTTCCCACACTGCTCCTTACATTTTAAGACTAAGAATAGTCAAATACTCATATAAATCCTCAGACAAAGCCCAAGTGCCCACAACTTGTCCTTAAGCCTTGGTTTTATTCTTGTTTTATGTTTTGATTTCTCACCAATTGACTGAAATCTGAAGTTGCTGGCCATTACTGAAGATCAACAGTGACCACAGGTCCCTCAGAAGACTTAGAGAGTGATGAATAGTAGTATCCATATATTCTGGGTGGTTAAAGTATACTTATAGAGGACCCTTGTCTCCATTTGGAGAGAGCAAATATTCAATATTGATGTCTGAGAAATTTTAAATTAAAGTGAAGTGTGCCCAAAACATAAGAAAACAATTAGGAACACTGTATTTTTCCATTTTTCTTCATGAAATTAGATTCATTCTAATCTTTGACACTCTGGATTAATTGAATACCTTTTTCAGGATCAACACGGGCTTTTCTTTAGTAAATACATCAAAAGCAAACATCCCTTCTAAAGTTATTTACAGATGTCAAAAGGTAGCCTTAAGAACTGCATAACAAAAAATGCAATTGGAAACAACATTTGATGGAGCACAAATGCTAAAAGACTCTTTTATATTGTACTTGCTTGTGATTTCCCCCTATCTATCCTATCTTGTGTCTCTTTCCCTTTTTCTAAATTGGAAAAGGAAACCAATTTCAAGAGGTGTTCATAAAGCTCGCAGTATAGCTGCTCACGTGATCTACAACTCAAACACCTTCTCATCATTCATGGTTATTTAGTGGGCTCAGAGCATTTTATATTTTTTCCCAGCGCACTGCTGTAATACATTGTTCGTTTGATTTTAAAGCAATAAATCCCGTATTTCCTATTCTCCTTTGTGCCCATATTTTAGGATGGTGCCATTTATCCCACTGCAAAGCTCAGTTTCCTGGCAGCATACCATAAAAACATGTTATTTTATGACAGGTTCTTTATTGTTTGTTGTCAGTATGATTGCCTAGGAGAGTTATTTGGTACAGCTCTATTAGAAAACAAAGTTAGCCTTTCTCCCTTTTCAGGGATGTGCACTAGGGGTTTGGGCTTAAGGAAGGATACAAGTTTATGGGGTTTCACAAATACATGATTCAAAACCTTTTTATCTTACCTATGCATATTCAAAATAAACCAAAGTGGAAAATAATCAGAAGATATGATGCCTTTCAAAGTATATTTCAAAAGTGCTGCTCTATGTTATTTTTGTGAAAATCAGAGAGAATGTGAGAGCAGATAGAAAGAACTGGCAGAACTAGTGACAGAGAAACTGTCCTTTATTCTGCTCTATACAATTAAATTATAATAACCCCCACATGCAGAAACAATGGAAGTTTCATAAATGATAACATGGGAAGATCAACTATGAGGTTGTGGATAATATTTTTTTGGTATTTAAGAAATATTGTAGAAAGTTATGTTTTCAGTGATTT